GCTAGGGTTAAGTGAATCTATCCTAGTCGACCTTCTTCTCTTTTCTTCCCTTTCCTCTGTCTCTTGCTGAAATCCCCAACTTTCTACTCTTCCTTCACAAGAAGCTTGGTCGAAATTAGCACATAAGGTTTTCTACTTAAACAATGGCTCATAAGCATAGTTGTCAAGGCTTCTAGGTGATTCTGGGTGACACTAGGGAACCTAGTAACCTAGGCAATGAGACTTTTATATAATAAGGAGCTAACTTTTGGCTAGTTATGTAGTTTTGTATATCATTCAGCATACATATTGATTGAAAAAATAGAAATTCTATTTAGTAAGAACATTAAATTTCTTCTCAAAACGTGGAAAATCATCATATATAATAAAAGATAAACATATTTTAAATATATAAGGTTCAATGTTTTCAAAAATAATACTAATATAATAAGTATTTAATGAAGCGAATTCATTTCAAATAGGCACTAAAGAAAGCTAACTTTGCAAGATAAAATTCAATATGGAAAGTATGAGAGACAAATAACAAGGATGGGGTTGTTGCTTTCTTTAATGTGTGTGCGACATGGCGACATTGAATGATATTATAATAAGATGTTTGCCTTATCATTTTTGTTGGATAGGTAGGCACCTTATTGCATAGGAAGGTTGCCTTGAAGTCAAGGTATTTAGGGGAGGCACCCTGCCAAGGGTGCCTTGTTGTCTATGCGACACTTTAACAACTACAAAATTCATAAGTTATGTGTCCATTGGAAATTTATAAAATAGTAGTGTTTTATTGGACAGCTTAAATTTCTGGACCAATGTAACATGGAGGTGCTTAAAGTGAAGATTTGTAAGAATCGACACATCGGACATTTTGATAAATCTGCTTGATTCACATTGTAGCTGAGTTCAACACAGTTTGGAGAGTTGGAGACAAGTTGACTCCTGGATATAAGTTGACTTGTGAGTCCCCTCCAAAGGTTGGGCGTCCAAGCAATGCTGCTGAAAATAGAATTTGCTAAGATCCATGGTGCAGAGAATTATACTTTGCCCCATTGATCAATTATTTGGGTATTTTTCCTTTTTGTAGATGCTTAATGTGCTGTACCAAATTTTATAGGGAAACCTTGCGAGTTGATTACTTCACTCTTCTTCTGAAACGATTAACTGAGCCTCTTCAGACACTCTCTAAGGTTGGAATTACCTCTGTTGTGGTTTATTTAGTCATTAAAATTTGAACAGCGAATACATATCATATATGTATGGGTGAAATTAATAATTATTGGTGAAATATTACCAGGATGAAGCAGTTCAGAATGTTGTTGAGTTGATGGATGCTTACTCTATAAATCAGGACGACTTTGACACAATCGTGGAGTTATCAAAGTTCCAGGTATTACTTTTTTATTGTACATGTCAATATATATTTATTCACTAACTACCATTTTATGTCTTCTCTATTCTTCCTTTTTTTAATGGATTAAACAACCTATGGGTTAACTAAACCCAAACATTACATCAAGCAATGAAAGGTCTAACCAATTCGGAGGAGTGTTCCTCCACTCCATGTGACTAACCTCTCTTGCTGATCTATCCTTTGCGCAGCTATATTACATTGTCGTTTAACATAACTGAAATTAATAAAATTCAACTTCACAACAAAGCTTTTTATATCATTGAAATAACAAAGCAGGTATATGGAACACTGAGTATATCCTTTCAAAGCATTGATTGAAATAATGGAATCCGATTGATTTTCTAGCTGAGAGTATATCCTTTCAAAGTATTGCCTCCATGCTCCAACCGATAGGAATAAAGGCCCATTAACATAAAAACATAATAAAGGCCCACGGGCTGTGTTTATGATCTTTTACTTTCCCTTGGTCCTATTTGCTTGGACCCTCCTAAGCCAGATTGGAGGATTTGGTCTTTGGTCTCAAAAAGCTCTTTTTCTTGTGCTTCCTTTTTCAAAGCTCTTTGCTCTAGTCTACCTACTCGGGTTTTCCTAGTAAAGGA